TGTCAGTAGTTGCTGGATAAAAAAAGAGAAAAGTGATGGATTTCTCCAGGCTGATGGCTTTGATTTTGTAAACAAACCTTCCTTTTACAGATGTTTTTTCATTATCATCTTTTAATCCTACTCTGAATATTAATCCTAACCACCAAAGTCTGAATATGCAGTTTTTATCCTGTTTAAAACAAAAACATTTGTTGTTGCAGCTTTGAGTTACAGCATCTAACATTTGACTCTTTCCGACCGCACTGTTCAGCATCGTGATCATCAGACTATATGTCAGGGTGTGAATCCAGTTTCTGTGCTGGACGGCGTTTGAAGGATGAGGTTTGTGTTGCCCTGTGAGAAGTATTAACAGAAAGCCCCAAATCAATCATTTTCAATCAAACTATCCCACATAAATTAGGAGAAACAGTGGAAAGCTTTTTCTTAAATGTAAGAAATTATGAAAGTATTTCTGATTGTGATTCCTGGTTGATGGGACAGGTGTTGTGAATGAAACGGTTCCCAGATTGAAAGAGCTCCTCTGTGTCGCTGAATGTGAGCATTGATGACTGAAAGACATCTTCTGCCTCCAATTATCTGTTTACTACAGTGTGTTGAATTCATGTTAATGTGGATTTAAAGACATTCCAATTAGTCAAAAAAGTTGCAGGAGGGGATATAAAAAAAAGTCTTATCAACCAAAACTTTCGTGACCCCCATGTGGTAACTTTGTGGACCCCCGAGGGGTCGCGGCACCCTGTTGAAGACCTCCAAAGTAGAGCATTAATTCATAAACAAATTTTCTGCCCAACAGCAATGATGAACTACATGGCAGTGTTCTATACCCAGCTGTTGTAGCATCTAGGATAGAGCTGTCAGTCTGGGAAAGAATGTTTTTTATTTGAAATTGTAAAGGTTAACCTTTTCTTTAAACATAACACTGACTAAAACTTACTAAAACTGGCTAAAACGATCACATATCGTAATGACTAAAACGGAACTTAAACTGATAATAGTTTTTGTCCTGAGCAATAAGACTGAGCTAGCCTGACGTAGTCCTACTCAATTCTAGTCAGAATATGAGTCTGATGCTGCTCCATAGAGCTGTGATTATGGGCGTGTTTTGAACGAACCAGGAAAAAAAATGCCTCTGCACTCAATTGGATAGATCTACAACCAATAAGAGCAACGGAGTGCGTGACGTATGTTAAGCGACGCATAGTTGTTGTCAACAAAAATCAAAGCGTGCAGTTGCACGCCTAGAATAAGAAGATGAGCCTTGATCGCGTTTCTCTGTTCCTCTTTTAAAATTAATTTGCTGTCGATATCTTCTAGAACAGACCTAATAGCAGAATCTACTCACCTCAACTCTCCAGCGGCAGCCATTGTTGTTGTCACCCAAGCGCGCTTTGGTCACATGGTTGATTACGTTACTGTTGATCATCTGTCCATCATCGTATAAAGCCCGCCCTGACAATTTGATTGGATCGCCAGATATTGTGAGAGCATACTCGCGCTACTATTGAGCAATGCCAGACAGAACTTCCCGACCTCAAACGTTGTGGGCGGGACTAAGTTCGGAATGGCACCCAGGCTAAGACTGAGCTAAGATGGCTGTCAAAAACAACACTACTGGTATGGTGGAGTAGAAACGAGAATGGAGTCCAGTTCAGGATTATTTACACGGTTTAATGGGAACAAGGATGCAGAATGAAATGTATGCCCTTCTGTTTGTAAATATAAACACTGGATAAATTTCTGAAGTTATCACTTAAATAGGCCAATTTAACCAGCTGTTTAAAGGCGCTACTACCAGCTCAAATCTGAAATAATTAGAAACAGAGCTGCTGTTTATTGGAACAGCTACCAGCCGCACCATTGAACCAAACAGGTAAATATTCTGACAGTCTAGTCAGAATGTTAATGATAGTTTACCTCTCTGTTAATTGGAAATCACCAATGTTTCACATATTTTACCCTTTTTTTAACCTTATACGTTCCTGTTTTGTTATATCTAATGCAGAAGTTTAATACATGTAAGGAAACATTTTTTGTTTACTCAGTCAGTAATAGCTGGCACCATAAAAAAGATAAAGCTTTATTATTCATCATATATAAAAAATTATCTTAATGCAGAAGAAAATTAAGTTTTTCTTTTTTCTTTTTAAATGTCCGCATATCACTGGATCGTTAGTCTGTTAATAAGATCGGTCAACTTTGAATTTAATAATTACCTGATAACTGGAATACCCACGTCCCTAAGCTTATTGGCACCAATGCTTATAAAACTACCAATGTACGCTCTTGTTCTGCTATTTTTTTGGTTGTCATACATCAACTTAAACTGCTACCTTTGTGACTGAAGGATTCGTTTGTTGGCATTGTGATCAGATATAGTATAGTAAATATTTCTATATTATGGACCCATTTATAAAAAAAATTAGATTATAAGGAGATGCCCACTTTCTGGACATTCTCCTTTTAGCCAAAGGGAAACAAAGACTCCAGATCGCCACATAAAGGCTCTGTTCGAAATCCTGGGCTGCATCATCCAAGGACGCGGTCTACCTAGACTGGATCCTTAGAAGTCCTTGAAAATAAGGAGCCCGGAAGTGTTTTGGCTCTGAATTCAAACAGGTCTACCCTTCGGTGGGTTTTACGGCGGTAAAACCCGCCGAAGGGTAGACCTGTTTGAATTCAGAGCCAAAACACTCTGCTGCTCTGTTGCTTAGCAACCGCGAAAGTTGACACAAAAAGCAGGAAAAGAATGAAAACCAAAGTTTTCAAAACTGTTTGTTTATTTATTTCTTTTTTATTGTAAAGTGAACAAAGACTACATTAACGAGAATCCATAGTGGAATAAAGTTTCCAACCACCGGGAGCAGGAACAAATAAAATCAAATGTAATGATAGAAACCTTAGTCAGTTAAATAACCTGCTGCTGTCATTCTGCACATCTCTGATGTTGCTGCTATTTTCAAATATCCATTACTGTAAAAATGTCCATAGCTGCATATTGGTTATTTATTCTCCAGTTTTATATTGTTAAAACACTTTTTTATTTTTTATATTTTGACTCTTCACTATTATGTTATTCTTGTACATTTTTCTAAGGTCATTTGTGTGACCATTTTCAATAATCTTCCTGCTGCTGTAAATTTGCCCATTGTGGGACAATAAAGGGATTTTCTATTCTATAAAAGGAGTAGAAAGATATAAGTAAATCTAAACAATGTATGTATAAAAATCTATCTGCAAAATCTCTAATATTCAACAACAAAAAAACGTAGTTAAGCATATTGTGCAAAACAGCAATAAAAAGATAAAAATCCTATCAGATTTATAGGTCCCCCCCCTGCAGATCTATTAGAATCTGTCCTTAAATTACAGCCAAACCCATTTACACAGTAACAGATAAAAACCTATAGATAAATCAAACATTACCGCCACATATCTGACTCAGTAACCATTAAAAGAACTATTTTCATTCCTTTCAGACGGAACTATTCACTGACTTGCATTATATTAAACTGAACTTCCAAGTTTCACCACTGTTCGGCGCCAAGTAACATTTACTCTGATCACAGCTTGCTTGGTCTAGCAATGAATCCTGGGTAAATCAAGAATACCGAGGATACATCGGACCCGTCCTTCAAATCGGGCAAAAAGAAGGACGCATTTTAAGGCCGCATAACGAGGACTCTTGGAATCCGACCAGACCTCGGCGCCGCGCTATGACATAATCGGCCTTCGAATCTGGCCTTCTAAGGACGCGTCCTAGGTTTTCGAACTGAGCAAAAGTCCCTTTGTTTCCAACCAGATTTGAGTAGACTGGAAAATAATAACAAAAGGATGCAGAGCAGCAGGAGTATTAAAATGCTGATTCTCTTTTTTAAGAAAAAAACAAAAAAACAAAAAAACAAAGATCTTCAAAGGGGTTGGCTTTGAAAATAATGCTGCTTGAAATGAGATCTGAACCTTTGTGTGAGGCAAGTCTGTATTTTTCATTTAATGGTTTTCATTAGAATGAGTCAGTGCTGGGAGGAAACAGCAGAGAAAAACAGCAGAGACTTAAAGACTGAGAGACGGAGGTGTGAAGAAAACCTAAAAATGCTGCTGGTTTGAAAGCTGCTCTTATTCCCAAATCAGCCCACATACAGATTTATTGAAATAGCCCTGTGCTCATTTTTATTTGACTCACGTTTTTTAACAAAAGGGAAAAATAATTGATTTCAAGATATTTTTCTAAACTATGAGCCCAATAAAAGAAAGAGAGAAAGTATATTTGAAAGGTGTTCATATCTAGGCTTTATATAAAGTGACATTTGTTCCATTATTGTTGGAAGCAAAAAAAAAAACTGTAAGCTGTTTAGTTTTTTGTAAAGGGAAATTTGAAAAAAAAAAAAGAAAAAATCCAGAAACGTAGAAAAAAGTTTTACTCAAAAGGCTTAAAATGTTTAAAGAGAAACATTGCTGTTTCCTCATTTTTATTCCTTCAGATTAGTCAGTTTTTCATACTAAACAAAAATAAATATATATATTTCAAGCTTCTCTTTCTCAAATTGAGTTTCTTGGATCTTATTCTTTTTATTTTCTTGGGACATCCTTTTCCTTGGAGTATGGAGTGATATCGCCTTTCTATTGGTGTGCAGGGATAATAGGAACATTTATTTCAGTTGTAAATTTTAAGAGTGAGCGTTTAGAAGTAAAGGGGATATAATCTGTAACAATTTGTAAAACTCAACCTGAAAAAAAGAGAAAAAAAAAACAGAATAAATCTGTCAGAAAAAAAATATGAAAAACATTTTTTTTCTGTAGGAAAAATGTAACAAAAATTAAGTAATAAAATCTCAGAAAACAACAAATTTGTTTCTCAAATAATCTTTAATTAAAATTTATCTCTGGAGTGAGTTTTCTTCATAATTTACTATATGCCTCCAAAAATAATGGAACAAAATTGACTCCATAGCTTCATAGCATGTTCTATCTAAACACAGCAAATGCATACTTTTATTTCTCACCCAGTTTGTGCTTCTGCTTCTTTTTCCAAAGGACCTACTTCCTGAAGGTGTTCGTAGGCGGGGCCTGAAAATTTGGATCCTCCAATTGGGTTTAGCCTCCCTCTAGCTGTAGGTGAGGTTCTGCGAGGAGCTGTCCAAAGTGCTGGCCGTGTTCTCTGGTCAGGGCTGTTAGACAACGAGCAGTTTCTGTAAGCAAAATCACACCAAATTCAAAAGCTTACATCGTGCATCTTGGGGTTCTTCTTTTATCATGCTGACCATGTTTTTTCTGTCAGAGTAAAACAGAATGAGTGTGACTTTTTGAAGATTAGCTTTAACATGTAAACAAAAAATAAATAAGGTTCATTTTATTTCACACAATGTCTAAGAGAGCAACCATCCTCATTACCAGGGAAATGAAACCTGGAATAACGAATGATGATGACAACACGTTCCTCTGAAACAGCTGTGAAATCTTTTTTTTTAGTAGTGCAGAAATCCAACTTGGCTAGATGAGTCTCTTCTACGTACATTACTGATCCTAACAATTAGATGTCTGCCAAAATAAAGCGGTTTTTGATATTACTAAAATGTGAAAATACAGATAAATCAAGCATCTTTTCTTAAGTGAGACTGAATGGTTTGAAAATAGTTAATTTCATTTTTTAATCTGTTAAGTATATATCTGAATCTGATGTCTGTCAAACTGATTATATTGTTTCCTATATTTATACAGTGGTATACTGAAAACTTGATGGTAAGCAGTTTTTGGTCTTTGTTTGATCCAGCTGTGCACATGGATTGGGATCAAGGATGTGGGATTCCCATTGTTCCTCTGAATCAGAACTAGTTACTTTACTTTTGAAGTGATGCTACCATTTTAATTCTCTTTCTTCTATGTCAACCAATGTGTTCAACATTTTTAACCAATTTTTAACTCTGTAAAGAACAGACTTTAGTCTACAGATGCTTTGCTGATGTTACTAGCTGCAATAAGGAAGAAAACTACTGTCAAGAGGCAGTAGGTCCCTGAAAAGTAGCCAATCACAGACAGTTTTGTTTCTCAGGTTGGTTGCAAAGAAAGCTGAAAGTTAAAAATGTGCTTGGAGAGCAGTTCTTTTTAAAGAAAGCCTTGTATTTATAATTGTTTATGCGTGTGCAGTTTCTGCAGATACTGACTTCAAAGAAAATGGACGTTATGCCCATATAAGTGAAGCATGTTACTGTTGATCAGCACTATTTCCATGGTTTCTATGACAACAACTTATCATCTATTTACTTTCTATTTTGTGGTTTGTTGTATAATCATTTTGAAAGATGTAAGGTAATGGATTGTTTTGATGAGTATTTTACAGTGAATTGATCTTGTTTTTTTGTAATTAAATATAATTTTAACTTTACCAAGTTAATTTAGTTTCTTTAATTAGCTCCTCTTAGTAAATATTCAGGAAAAAAACAAGTTTGTTCCTCAGAATATTAGTCTGCTTTATTTAGAAAAAAAGGTGAGTGTAGAAATGATCAGATTTAGAGCCAGTTGCTGTGCAACAAAGAAAGAATCCATGAATAGTTTTTCTTTTTCTGCTTCACACCTGTATGCAGGTTATATTTGTGAAGAAGTCAGAGTAAAGCTGGGATATTGCATTAACTGATGATAGGAGGGAGAAGAGGTGCAAGCTCCAGGTGCTTCTGGAGGTTTTGGATCATTTTCTGGGCGTCCTGATGGAGTCAGTCTTCTTCTATTTTTATTGCAGGAAAATAATACGTTTTGTAAATGGAAATTTGTCAAAATGCAATCCAGAAATGAAATGTTTATAATCAATAAAAGATGTTCAGAGTTCCTCTGCTTTTTTATTATGTTTTCTTTTTTATTATTCAAATGTGTTTTTCATACTTTTGTTCTTCAAACTTTTTCTGTCTAATTTCTCCTTTGTGTTCCACTAATTGCATTCCATTTAAACTGCTGTTACAGAACACATTCTTTTCACTTCAAGCTCAATGAAGATGTTATTGCTAATTTCCTTTCAGACCAATAAAAAAACATCTTCCCTCGTCGCGCCAGAGGAATTAGAAAAGATTCTGATGTGGAAAACTTACCTTGAAAAAAAGCATAAAAAATTATAATAAAATTAAATCTCAATTTATAAAATAAGTTAAAAAAACTAACAATATCTGAAAAAGGGATCTGATAAAGAAGGAAAGTCAAAGGCTTTTTTCAAAGACATTTAAAGTCTTCTAAAATGCGTTTATACAGCAATAAGTGCACTTCTTTACAGAAAGGCTGTAACTTATTGTGGTCATATAAACCTCTTACAAATCCATTCAGCCTAGAAAGATGTTATGGACTTAGAGATGGTGTGGTTTCTCACAACAATAATACAAAAAAAACTCCCTACATGCCAATATTATATTTTGAGCTTAGGTAAAATTTTTCAATGCCTCATTCATGTTTCAATCCGCTGTTGTTAAAGCTAGATTTGTCTCAAAAAATTATCTTTTTATTCACAACAACAGAAAGCTTACAGATGCCTGTCTGAAGCTTTCTGCTGTAAGAAACGAAACAACCCTGGCTGAGTTTTCTCTCCCATTTCGTCCTATAAGTGAAATACTTTCGTTAAAGAAATGGAATCTTGGGCATTTTTCTTCAGCTGTTTTGGGCCAAGTATAGACTGCCAAAGCTCACTGCAATAATAAAAACATAATACATCAATTTGTCTGGAAATGCGTGTATTTTCCCTTCTTTTGATCAGGTAACCAATACAGTTTGGAGAGAGAATAAGAAGATTTATATTCAAAACAGGAAGGAAAATATCCACATTTTTTATTTCAAGTGTATAATATCTAAATATCTGATTTTATGGTCAAAAGTACTGATTTAATTGGCAGATCATCTTATTTAAGTTAAGGTGAAACATGCCTATTTCAGGACATTTTTTACAGTGTGAGTGCTAACAATAGATCATGACTGTCCATCACAAAATGTGACTAATAGTTCTTTGAGTAAAATAAACTCTAAAACAATTAATGTGAGCAATAACATTGCTTCTTACAGAGTCGTTTTAGGAGAATAAATTGGAATAAAATCTTTTTTAACAGCCTAGCGATTCTGCAGTGAGGAAGAAAGAACGATGGGATTTTGAATGTGAGTCACATTGAATAATTAAAACTTTCATTGGAGGTTTGTTTGTCCAATAAAAAGTATCAATTCAGTTAATTTCTATAGCGCCAATTCACATCATGTCATCTCAAGGCACTTTACAGTTCATCAGATCATCCAGTCAGATTGATTCAAAGTTTTCTATCTAAGGAAAACCAGCTGATTGCATCGACTCATTGACTCTTCAGGTATCCCTCACACTAAGCATGCTTGTGGCGACAGTGGAGAGGAAAAACTCCCTTTGAACAGGAAGATGTTGAATCAGTCTGTGTAACTAATCTATATAATAGGTTTACATTAATTAAAAGAGTTTCTGATATAAATTAAGTCTTATAGTTGGAGTTATTGAATGGATTTGGAATGTTAAACCTTTTGTTATTAAGTATGCAAGTGGTTGTTAGCTTAAAGGTGCCTAATCATGTACTATGCTAACTCCAAGAACACCAAAAACCATATATTGACATTAAATAAAACCATAAACGCTATGCACTACTGTAGTCCTGATAGTGTTTACTTACTCCTATCTGAGCTTGTAAATTTAAGGGAGAGTAGTTTATATGCTTGTTGTTGGGATCCTCAGGCTTGCCCACCAGAGGGCGCCGAGGATCCTCTTCTGCTCTCTTTGTCTTTTTCTTAGGGCTGGAGTCACTGTTAGGTTCTGGAGATTACCCTCTGTCTCCAGCAGAGTGTGCCGTGGGTCCTCCTGAGCTGAGCCTCCCACACACCTGTGGCTGATCTACTCATCAGGAGGACCACAGTATTTAAGCTGCCCTCAGACCTTAATTCCACGCCGCAGTGTTGATCTTAGTTGGTTAGCTTCCTGAACCTTCTGCTATAGACTGAGTCTTGGTTGTTCCTAGGTCGAGACCAGATTCTAATCTCTCCTTATCTGTGCCTCACAGGAATCCTGTCTCTTCGTGAAGCTCTGGATGAGCTTAACCTCCTGTCTCCTCGAGAAGCTCTGGGTGAGCTTAACCTCCTGTCTCCTCGTGAAGCTCTGGATGAGCTTAGCCTCCTGTTTCCTCGAGAAGCTCTGGGTGAGCTTAACCTCCTGTCTCTTCGTGAAGCTCTGGATGAGCTTAACCTCCTGTCTCCTCGAGAAGCTCTGGGTGAGCTTAACCTCCTGTCTGCTCGTGAAGCTCTGGATGAGCTTAACCTCCTGTCTCCTCGTGAAGCTCTGGATGAGCTTAACCTCCTGTCTCCTCGTGAAGCTCAGGAAGAGCACCCTCACTGGAACCCAGTCTCTGGTCTGCAGCTCTGGTGGAGCTGCATCTCAGGAAACCAGTCTCAAGCCTGAAGCTCTTGAAAAGCCTAACCAGCTAATCTGCCCTGGTGAGCCAACCCGAAGATTTCTACGTGGACGGAACCTGACGACTTCTCTGTGGAGTTTCCCTAGAGGTTCCCATGTGGATTTCCCCTGTTGTTCCCTACGGTGAGCTGGAAGCTCAGCCTGAAAGATTCCTTGTGTTTTCCCCTGTTGTTTTCTGCAGTAAACTGGAAGCTAAAACCCAGGACTGCCAGGCTAAGCCAAAGCTAGATGCTTAGCCTAACCTGAACTCTGCTACCAGCCATCTCCCGTTTCCCCGCACAGACCCCAGTGAACCAGTCCACTGCCTGAACTGTTTCCACTTAATTATCTATGTGCTTGTGCCTTTAATAAACTCTTTGGACTTTTACCCGAGTCTCCGTGTGTGTTCTGCATCTTGGGCTTACTCTCTTAGAAACCCATCATGACAGAACACTGCGGCCAAACACAAAGCCCAGCAGATCACCTCCGTCGTAGAACTGAGAAACTCTGACTCCTGATCACACACAGTCCCTCCGTGAGTTAAAATCCCAGTTTGACTTTAAGAAAACACACGTTTCAAGATCCCACAGGTTTTGTGGGAATCACAAGATGGCGCCAGTTCAACTTCCGGTTCCGGTTTCGTCACTTCCGGAATTCCGTCCGTCACTCCCCTGTCAAGATGATAACCCTCCTTTCTGGTCAGAACTCATTCCATCGTTTTCGTCACCCGGTCCTCCTCTACCTGAGAGATTTTCTGGCAACCCAAGTAAGCTCAAGGGATTTCTATTTCAGTGTCGGTTATTTTTTAGTTTTCACGCTTCTAATTTTCGTTTTGATAAAGATAGGATAGCTTTTGTCATTTCTTTTCTGTCTGGTGAAGCCCTCGAATGGGCGGAGACCAAATTTCCGCTTAATATTCGAGAAAGCTGTACATTTGAGAATTTCACCCAGGAGTTTGAAAGAACTTTTAGTCAGGTCACATGGTTCTCCGTTTCTCGCTACCTTCTAAATGTTAAACGAGGTAATAGGTCCGTTGCCGAGTTTTCCTCTGATTTCCTAGAAAAAGCAGCCGTTTCCGGGTGGAGTCTGCGCTCCAAACCACTTATCTCCTAGCTCTAAACGAACCAGTCAGAAATGAGCTATCATTTTACGATGAGCCAGCTAACCTTGAAGACCTCATAGAGCTGGCCATCGGATTAGACATCGAACTGCAAACTAGACCCAGAGCCTTCCACCCTCAGTCTCAGGATTCCAGTTCCCATCTACTCCAGGTCAGTCTCAGCTCTAATTTATTCGTTTGCCAGTTAGCTCCGTCCGTTAAAGGACTCAAAATTACCCCATCAATTTCACATCATACAGTTAGAGTTCCCCGTCAGCCTGATCAGACACCTGCACCCGTCACCGTTAAAACTAAACCAGTTCCCTCACCTGTCAATCGAGCTCCCCACATCCATGAGGCTGATCTTTGGAATTTTTTTTATGGTGATAGAGATGATATCTTCCCTTTCGAGCCACCACTTTCTGTTACACGCCAGCCAGATCCAGATCCTGAACCCGTTATTGACCCCTTGCCTGATTTTTTTTAGCTTCTGATCCTGTAATCCACTCTGGAATTATTATTTCTCAACCGGTTAATTTAGCGTTTGATTCAATCAATAAACTAGTTAGCCTAGCTCCAAAGACCTCTCGGCGTAAGAAAAGGCGTCGCCCCGAGCCTGCTCTGTGCCGTCCAGAGACCCCTGAGCCTGCCCTGTGCCGTCCAGAGACCCCTGAGCATACACTTAAGAGGGCTTCAGAGAGTGGAGTTGGTGAAAGAATGCCTCCAGGAGCCCCTCAGCAAAGGCCACAAACCACCAAGAGTCCTCCACAGACGCCTCAAGCCACCTCAAAGACTGAACTTGAGCCTCCATGGGTGGCCTCTCCAGTTCCTGAGGTGGAGCCACAGTCGGTGGCCTCACCAGTTCCAGAGGTGGAACCACAGCCGGTGGTGTCCCCTGTTCCTGATCGGGAGCCGCAATCGGCGGGCTCCTCTGTTCCTGCGGTTCTGGAGCAGGGGAGCCCGCCGATTGCGGCTCTGGAGCAGGGGAGCCCGCCGATTGCGGCTCTGGAGCAGGGGAGCCCGCCGATTGCGGCTCTGGAGCAGGGGAGCCCGCCGATTGCGGCTCTGGAGCAGGGGAGCCCGCCGATTGCGGCTCTGGAGCAGGGGAGCCCGCCGATTGCGGCTCCCGATCAGGAACAGGGGAGCCCGCCGATTGTGACTCCCGATCAGGAACAGGGGAGCCTGCCGACTGCGGCTCCCCTGCTCCAGAGCCGCAATCGGCGGGCTCCCCTGCTCCAGAACCGCAATCGGCGGGCTCCCCTGCTCCTGCTCCAGAGCCGCAATCGGCGGGCTCCCCTGCTCCTGCTCCAGAGCCGCAATCGGCGGGCTCCCCTGCTCCTGCTCCAGAGCCGCAATCGGCGGGCTCTCCAGTTCCTGACCCGGAGCCGCAATCGGCGGGCTCCTCGGTTCCAGACCCGCAGTTGGCGGTCTCTTCAGAGCCTCCTCCAGAGCCGCAGTCGGCGGTCTCTTCAGAGCCTCCTCCAGAGCCGCAGTCGGCGGTCTCCTCAGAGCCTCCTCCTGAGCCGCAGTCGGCGGTCGCTATAGAGCCTGAGCTGCCGAGGAGGGGACGGGGTACCCCGTGGGGGTACCTGCTGAAGTTTGGGCTTCTTCCTCCTGAGAAGGTTCTTCGCCTTCGGCCCCGCGGCAGACCTCCAGAGCGTCAGCTTCGCCTTCGGCCTCGCGGCAGACCTCCTGAGCGTCAGCTTCACCACCGGCCCCGTGGCGGACCCCCAGAGCGTCAGCTTCGCCTCCGGTCCCGCGGCAGACCCCCGGAGCATCATCTTCACCGCCGACCCCGTGGCAGACCCCCAGAGTGTCAGCGTCGCCTTCGACCCCGCTGCCGGCCACCTAAGACTCTGCTCCGTTGCCGGATCGTAGGCCGGCCTCCTGAACCTCAACCGTGCCTCCGGCCCGGCGGTGGTCCCCCTAAGACGCTGCTTCGCCTTCATCTCAACGGTCGACCTCCTGAGCAGCAACTACGCCTCCGCCGTCGGCCCCACGGTAGGCCACCTGAGATTGTGTCCCACTGCCGGTACTTCGGCCGGCCACCTGAGACTGTGTCCCGCTGCCGGTCCCTCGGCCGGCCACCTGAGACTGTGTCCTGCTGCCGGTCCCTCGGCCGGCCACCTGAGACTGTGTCCTGCTGCCGGTCCCTCGGCCGGCCACCTGAGACTCAGTCCCACTGCCGGTCCCTCGGCCGGCCACCAGAGACTTTGCCCAAGAAATTTTTTGGGTTTTCTTTTGTTTTCGTCCACCATAAGTGGATCGTTTTTTGTTCTGGACTCTGGTTTTGTTTTCTGCCCCCCTGGCCTGTTTCCCCCTTCGCCCACCCTGGGTGGGTTGTTTTTTGTTTGTTGGACCTTTTTTTCTGTTGGTTCTGGCCCTCCTCGCCCTAGTGCCCCCTCCGCCCGCCCTGGGTGGGTTGTTTTTTGTTTGTTTTTTGGACGTTTTTTTTCAGGGGGCGTCTGGAATCCGCCCTTGAGGGGGGGGCTCTGTTGGGATCCTCAGGCTTGCCCACCAGAGGGCGCCGAGGATCCTCTTCTGCTCTCTTTTTCTTTTTCTTAGGGCTGGAGTCACTGTTAGGTTCTGGAGATCACCCTCTGTCTCCAGCAGAGTGCGCCGTGGGTCCTCCTGAGCTGAGCCTCCCACACACCTGTGGCTGATCTACTCATCAGGAGGACCACAGTATTTAAGCTGCCTTCAGACCTAGATTCCACGCCGCAGTGTTGATCTTAGTTGGTTAGCTTCCTGAACCTTCTGCTATAGACTGAGTCTTGGTTGTTCCTAGGTCGAGACCAGATTCTAATCTCTCCTTATCTGTGCCTCACAGGAATCCTGTCTCCTCGTGAAGCTCTGGATGAGCTTAACCTCCTGTCTCCTCGTGAAGCTCTGGATGAGCTTAACCTCCTGTCTCCTCGTGAAGCTCAGGAGGAGCACCCTCACTGGAACCCAGTCTCAAGCCTGAAGCTCTTGAAAAGCCTAACCAGCTAATCTGCCTTGGTGAGCCAACCCGAAGATTTCTACGTGGACGGAACCTGACGACTTCTCTGTGGAGTTTCCCTAGAGGTTCCCATGTGGATTTCCCCTGTTGTTTTCTACGGTGAGCTGGAAGCTCAGCCTGAAAGATCCCTCGTGTTTTCCCCTGTTGTTTTCTGCAGTAAGCTGGAAGCTAAAACCCAGGACTGCCAGGCTAAGCCAAAGCTAGATGCTTAGCCTAACCTGAACTCTGCTACCAGCCATCTCCCGTTTCCCCACACAGACCCCAGTGAACCAGTCCACTGCCTGAACTGTTTCCACTGAATTATCTATGTGCCTTTAATAAACTCTTTGGACTTTTACCCGAGTCTCCGTGTGTGTTCTGCATCTTGGGCTTACTCTTAGAAACCCATCATGACACTTGTATTTTGAACAAAAATGCTTGTAGGAGTATTTATCACTTTTGTGCACTTTTGAAAGCTTCTAAATTCATATTGCATAAAAGAATCAACTGCATGGGATGATAACTACTCATAAGTGCTCTACAAAACCCTACATACATCCACCGTATGCTTTTAGTGTTGAAACTTAAAGTATATTGCATAAGCATAAATGCGTTAATATGAAAATGTGCAGCACGCTTTCTCATCCTATAAGGTGCATATTTCTTTAACTGCTAATGTACAGGAAAAGCCCTGATTACTTTAAAGAGCGACTCATGATGTTTCCTTTTGATAAAAAGCAGCCATGTTCACTTTTCCGAGCATCACAAAGTGTCAAACAGAGACGTAGGCTTTCTTAAAGGAAGGATGCCAACAAGCTGGTTTGATGCGTGAAGCGGACCTGCAGGAGCTTGTCCCCCTCCGTGTCAGCTCTATAAATGGTGCTGTTCTTGTGTTCCCCATCAGAAAGCTTGCTTTGGTAGTAAAAGTAATATCTCTGTGTTTCTGGGTGTAAAGCCATGCTGAATCCTCTCCAAGCCTGAGAAAAGGTTATCAAGCTCTCACATGTCTGCACTTGCTCTGATTTAATCTCTGTTCCATTCCTACAGTGTTCATGACTGTAAAAGATATGCCTGTTAAAGTATTTATACTTTAATTATAATTAGTACCATCCTTCTGAAAATCAGTAATTAGCCTTGGCGGCACTGTAGTGTGGATAATTCAATCTCCCTCTTCGCGGAGTCCATGCTCATTACGACAAAGAAGTTCTTCCTTCTAGGTAGAATCTACATTCCCCTCCTGGAGCGAAGAGAAGAGATTGCTGCGGTTCTGATTCTAGTTTATCTGCTGTTCAATGTTTGTACCTGGTATGTTTAGCTGTGCATCTGAAGCTGCTGGGAGGCAGGCCAGCCATGTTGCAGGGTGCGAAGCTGGACTCACAAATGCTTCCTTGGCTAGACGCTGGGGGATGCTTGCAGTACTGTACAGTAAGAGAGAGAGAGAGACAAAAAAAGCATGTTTAGCTTAAAATATTGCCAGCCATCCTCCTAATTGACAATAGGCATGCAGTTCTATTAGTTTGGTATTTTGGAAACTTTTCCCATTTTTTTCTCTCAAATTCAGAGCTCTTGTTTGCAGAGATATCTCTCTTTCAGTGAGTCTAAATGCATTAATTAGATATAAGAACTCTACATCTTATTCTGGCCCTTTCATAGTCCCAACTTTGTAAAAATGTGTTGACAAGAGAAGATCTGTCTGAAAGCTGAGAAAATGAAAAAGCACAAGCACTCGGATGTGTTACATTTCTCTGAGAAAAAATTATGTTTCGATAGAAGACAATGGCTGCCTCATCTGCAGCAACTTGCCAAGAAAAAGAAAGCTATATTGTAGAACGAGATGATAAAATAGACTGTTGGTTAAAAAAATACATTATTTCTCAGTTTTTTCCTTTTGTCTAACAAATGAAATAACACAAAAGTGTGAATTATTAAGTTACACGTATATATGGAGGGAAATTTGTTCCCTTTTTATTGTTGCAGTCAAAAAGTATGTTTTGTCTGTGGAAATCTGAATAAAAAATTAGGAATTGAAACTTTCTTGATTTTTTTTCTTGAATAGAGCAATCAGAAAAAAAATGTTAAAGAAACAATCACACTTTTTTCCATATTCAATCTGTGTTCAAAGTTATTTTTTCACTTGCGGCTCGAGGCTTCTTTTTGACAGCAGACTGACCAAAAAACCTACTTAAACCCGGGAACAGTCGTTTTTTGGAGACCCTTGTCAAACAACCCAGGTTAAAATCGCCTCCAAAGGGCTTGGCAATCGGCATACAGTGGGAACATCAGCTTTTATGTGACAACAATAAGTGCAAAGTACAGACGTCAACCCAGTCCTGTCTGATCTAACAAGTCAAAACAACTCTGCTTACATTCAATAAACATGGCACAGCACTGGCTAGATTGGGAGGGACAAAAGAAGAAAACAATAAAACCCACTGACTACGCCCTGGTTTCCTTCCATGTTGCTCTACGTTGTTTACTTTCCTGATGTTTGTCATACGCAGAGGTATGGGGACAGAGACAACACAGCTTACCGGCAGGGAATTAGACCCAGCTTTCTTTTGCCAATGGGAAGGGAGTCAAATGCCAATTGTAAGTAGGTCAAACTGCACTTGAAATATCAGAGTTCACCTATTCAGTGGGAAAGAAGCTTTACTTAGCACATATATGGTTTTGATTAGTGGCCTTCCCATTTTGTGTGAAGGAATTTAATTCTTCCAGTACAGTGAAACCCTTGTTTAGTATTAGATGTATAGTTTTGGTTTAATTGCATTGATCCTAATCAGAGAACTGTTTCTTAGGGTTGTTTGCTGTTATCTCCCCATATCTGTCTCTCATCAACAGAGATGGCAAAAGTTCTCACTTTCCGTACTTGAGTAAAAGTACAGATACTTGTGTTAAAAAATACTCTGGTAAAAGTGGAAGTACTGATTAAACTTCTTTACTCGAGTAAAAGCAAGTACAGGCTTGTAAATTTACTTAAAGTATAAAAGTAAAAGTAGAAACCACTTTTTTCATGCCGTTGCCTACATTTTAAATGGATGTCTACCAATAGGACTAGATCTCCGTTGTGTTTATTTTCAATCATCTCGTCGTCCATGCTACTATGCTAAAGCCACCGCCACCAAGCTGCAATGATTTGCCGCGAATGAATACCGCCGAATCTGTGGATTCATCTTGTAGTGTTGCGACAAATGCAACGTAGATTCCCATCCAATTAGATTGAATTTGGTATTGATGACGTGAAAAATAATAACGGTAACTCCATTGAAATGATTCAAAACTAAAGTAACGAGCCAATTTTTAAAATGTAAGGAGTAGAAAGTACAGATATTTGTGTAAAAATGTAAGGAGTAGAAGTAAAAAGTCGCCATAAAAATAAGTAGTAAAGTAAAGTAAAAATATCAGAAAAATCTACTTGAGTACAGTAACGAAGTATTTGTACTTCGTTACTTCCCATCTCTGCTCATCAATGTTTTGCTGTGTCCTGCAAGGGTTAGAAAGGATTTGAAAACATTCTGTTTTGGGTACACTCTCTGACTCTGTGGTGGAGCGTGCCTCAAACACTGTTTTCCTTTAAATACATTTACAAAGACAATATCGATCTTCTCTTACTTTATTGAAACTATTTTAGGCCTTAAAAATTAACATTTCCATTACACTGTAAACTTTGCAATTCAATAAAAACACTGATTGCCTGAATAGTACAAAAATGTTCCTCCAACCATGAATGTCATAAATGCTAGTTGTAATGCAATGTGAGATTCCTTTATTTTGGTTCATATTTTTTAAAGCCCATAATTTGTTAAATTGGGTGAACATAAAATTGGAAATGTGCTTAAATAGGCATGCAATTTAAAAACAAAATGTAGTAATCTCTACTCCCAGTGTGACAAGATGCAGTCAGTTCACTATTAAATTAAAGCAATACACCAGATATATCATATTTGAAAGTATTTCATATGGACTTAATAGCAGCCTTGATTAAAAGTACTGATCACCAGTTTTCTGCAGTTTTATGCTGTAGATGGGAAGATCAGTTAGCCTTTCATTGTGTCACTAAAGAAAGAACCTGTCTGTTTAAAATCATATTCTTTCTTTTATATTGTAAAATATTAAGAAATGGATAAAGAAAGCAAGAATTAGAAAACATGCAAGTAGAAAACCCAGGAAGTAACCTGTAAAAAGACTGTAATAAGACATTATAAAACAGGGCGTTGCTATGGATTGATAGCAATTGTTTATGTCTTTATTTATGACCTGATGAACATGACAGCTGAAGATCTTTCACAGTCCTTTAGCTTTTTTTCCTATAATACTGCTGTATGGATTTTCCTTTACTGCTTTGGATCCCTTTTTAATCTTTTCCATCCACATAAATCCTTACTTTACCACATTCATCTAACTGGGATGCTTATATCCCTCTTGGAATAACCTTGGAGTGGCACAATGCAATCTACTTTCTTATTACTTTCTTTCTATGCCCTTCTGGAACATTTACCATCAAAGCAACGCTCTGTAACGTTTAGCCACTAGGGGCACTAGATCTTTAATTTCCAATGTTTAGAGCCTCTGAAAGCAACAGTTTTCTCTGGTGTTAAAGCAGACTGCTTCGGACCCTCAGATGAGGCAGTCTGGGAGTTGACTTTAAAGACAAGGACAAATCCACCAATATAAATGAAATCTTACATCGGAGAATTAGATTAATGTCATATCTGTTTTTTCAGCTTGTAACTTTTAGCTTAATTAGCTCTTGTGTTTAAATGGAGCTTGGTCTGCCATGAAGAGCCTCTGAGTCACATGAGCCATTCAGCGATGGATTGCACCCACTCAAGTTACATAGGTGAATTTTTAGGAATCTGCTGACCTGGAAAATCGTCTAAAGGGATCTATAAGTATTTGAAACAATAGACTTTATCTAACAATAAATCTTTTTATGTGAATACAATACAATAAAAACATTGTAAGCTATTTAGTTTAATAAATTCATGCTGACTATGCCATCTTGTTAAATCTGCAATGTATACCAGGCAAATGACGTATGCTAGGTCCTGTAGCAAGAGCTCTGACCAACTATACCTGAGATTGATGAGAGAATTGAAATCACAGGAGGTAATGAACATGAGGATGACCAAACAGAGGAAGAAGGGAGAGTTGGAATCTCTCAGATAGAGACCTATGCTACAAAGAGCTCTAGTTTGTAACTAAGGCTCTTCACACTAAACACCTTTCAAACGCAGTATTATAAAAAAACACCTCTGGTAATTTTAATCTTCTTGTGTTTACTCTGAATGTTTCAGTCAAGTAAAACCTAACCAATTATCAACCCAGCATGCATTGCACAGGTGAAAATAAGGAAAACTCTGTGGGGGAACAATACGAAAAATAATATGTAATTTTTTAAGTAATGATGAGTTTTTACACATTGCAAATGGCAATTTGCCAGAAGGAAAATTACAACATATCTAGGCCAACATGTTCAGCTAGATGTGGAACTCAAATTATGGTTGAATTTATTCATTGAGATTTTCTGTCTTTTCTATTTTTTCCTCCAACGTTACCTCTCTAACTTCTTATCTCTTCTTTAACTAAATAGGCTTTGGCTGACATAATGCCTTTTGAAGAAACTGCAGGACACAGCCTTATTATTATCACACATTCCGCCGCTGTGACCATCAGTTGTTTGAATAAAATTAGTTCTTAAATCCATGATTTTTGGTCTTATAAAAATAACAAAATGTATTGTTTGTAATTGAATTGTCTTTTCCAGAACCAACACCAAGTAAAGACTGATCATCAACATGTGTTGCTTTATTAAATCCAGGAAAGGTTTTACAAATAACGCCTGTTTTAAACAAACATGTTTTGAATAATTCAACATAGATTGGTTAATTTCATTATAGATTAATTTCATTTATTGTGGTTTTACTGATTCCCTAAGTCTAAGAGGGTTCTATTTCTAAAAACAAACAAACAACAAAAAAGTATATTTTTGGGATTTTCATGGATAGAATAAAGATTTTATAAACTAAAATCCTTGTAAAGAATCTATGATAAATAAGGACTTTTCTTAAATTCAGGTTTGATCAATCTAAGTGTTTTGTATTAAAACTAACTAACATTTGACATGTTAAATGTGTACAAAGTGGCATGCTATTTGACTATTGTGCACAAAGTACTTAAACAAGTAGGTCATCATCAATGACAAAAGTGTTTCTCTTGCATGGAGCAGGTAAGTAAAATAATCTGCCAATTTATGTTTAAAATGAGAAAAAACTTCTTATCTTAATAATTTTATCTTAAAGGCAGGTATACTAATTTCATTGGAAGACCATCTAATTTAAATGCTCAAACTGAGGGTAGATATGCTTATTTTAAGAAGGTTATTTCCTTTTTAGATCTGTTTTTGCATTGAAAGGCG